GCAAAGACTTTGTCAACATATCTGAACCATTCTCATTGGTATGCACCTTTTTCAACTGTAATTCTTTCATCTCAAGCACATCACGAATCCAGTGATATCTAGAATGGTATGTTGAATTCTTGGAGAGGTAAATGACGCTCTAACTGTCACAGTAAACAGTATATCCTTCCTGTTTCAAGCCCAATTCCTGTAGAAACTTTTTCATCCATAAAGCTTCCTTGCAGGCTTCAGTAATTGCTATGTATTCTGCTTCTGTGGTTGATAGAGCAACACACTTCTGTAACTTAGACTGTCAAGACACTGCTCCCCCTGCAAATGTCATCAAGAATCCCGAAGTGGACTTCCTGGAATCAGTATCACCTGCTATGTCTGCATCTGTGTAACCTTCTAACACAGGTTCATCATTACCAAAACATAAACCCAACCTGAAAGTACCTCTTAGATATCTTAATATCTATTTCACTGCTGCCCAATGTTCCTTTCCAGGATTAGAGAGAAATCGACTGACAACTCCAACTGCATGAGCTATATCTAGCCTAGTACAAACCATAGCATACATCAAACTGCCTACTGCAGATGAGTAAGGCACTTTGGACATTTCTTCTTTTTTTTTCTCACTTGTAGGACATTGTTTCGAACTCAGCTTGAAATGACCTGCAAGTGGGGAACAAACTGCTTTGGCTTTACTCATGTTGAATCTTTCAAGAACCTTTTCAATGTAAGTCTCCTGAGATAGCCAAATCTTCCTTTTTTTTCTATCACGAAGAATCTTCATGCCAAGTATTTGTTTCACTGATCCCAAGTCTTTCATGGCAAAAGACTTACTTAGCTCTCTTTTAAGCTTTCCAATTTTTCCAACATCATGGCCAACAATCAGCATATCATCAACATATAGCAGTAAAATAATAAAATCATCATCTGAAAATTTCTTCATAAACACACAATGATCAGATATGGTTCTATCATACCCTTGGCTCATCATAAAGGAATCAAACTTCTTGTACCACTGTCTAGGTGCCTGTTTGAGTCCATATAAGCTTTTCCTAAGCTTACACACCATATTTTCTTTTCCCTTGACTTTGAAACCTTCTGGTTGCTCCATGTAAATTTCTTCTTCTAAATCACTATGAAGAAATGTTGTTTTCATATCAAGTTATTCAACTTCTAAATTCAAGCGGGCAGCCAGACCAAGGACAACTTAGAGGACATTTTCACAACTGGAGAAAATATTTCTTCAAAGTTAATACCTTTCTTCTAACTGAATCATTTCACAACTAGTCGTGCCTTGTATCTTTGTTGTGAGCTATTGTTTTCAGTCTTCAATTTGTAAACCTACTTATTCTTGAGAGCTTTCTTCTCTTTATGCAATCTTACCAAGTCATAGGTATGGTTCTCATGCAAGGATCTCATCTCTTCTTGCATAGTTTTAACCCACTCATTCTTATTCTCATGTAGAATAGCTTCTTGGTAAGTTTCTGGCTCTCCCCCATCAGTAAGCATAACATACTCATGTGGAGGATATCTGGTAGAGGGTTGTCGCTCTCTAATAGATCTTCTCAATGGAATCTCAACTGGTGGTGGAGGTGCCTGTTCAGTTGGTTCAGCATCATCAACTGTAGGTGTATCATCACTAGTATTCTCACCATAATCTTCTTGTTCATCTCCCCCATGATCATCATGAACTATAGGTGAAGGAACTGGACCCAAACTCCAAGGAATATAAACAGAGGTTTCTAGCTTCTCAACATTACCACCAGCATCAAACAATTGGTCTTCAAGAAACATAATATCTCTGCTTCTAATAATCTTCTTGTTCACTTGATCCCATAATCTGTACCCAAACTCTTCATTACCATATCCCAAGAAATACATGCTTTTGCCTTATTATCAAGCTTGGACCTTTCATCTTTGGGAATATGAACAAATGCTTTACACCCAAAGACTCTTAAATGATTATAAGATATATATTTTCCTCTCCATACTCTCTCTGGAACATCATCTTTCAGAGGAACTGATGGAGAAAGATTTATCAGATCAACTGTAGTTCTCATAGCCTCCCCCCAAAATGACTTTGGTAACTTGGCGTGGGAAAGCATACACCTAATCCTTTCTTCAATGGTTCTGTTCATTCTTTTTGCCACACCATTCTGCTGAGGAGTTTTAGAAACTGTTTTCTCAAGCCTGATACCATGGAACCTACAATAATTCTTAAAAGGACCCCTGTACTCGCCACCATTATCTGATCGAACACACTTTAGTTTTCTGCCAGTTTCTCTTTCAACACTAGCATGAAACTCCTTGAAAGCATCGAGTACCTAGTCTTTAGATTTCAAAGCAAAAGCCCACACTTTTCTAGAATGGTCATCAATAAAAGTAACAAAATAAAGAGCACCTCCAAAAGTTCTAGTTTGCATAGTACAAACATCAGTATGAACTAAATCAATAATATCATATCTTCTAGATGATGGATATGTCTGAAATGCAACTCTATGTGTTTTTCCAACTAAGTAATGATCACAAGATTTAAGAGATGTACCTTGCAACTCTGGTAAGAACTGCTTTCTAGCAAGAGTTTGAAGTCCCTTCTCGTTGATATGTCCAAGCCTCTTATGCCAAAGATCTATACTTTCACCTTTTCGAATTACATTAATCTCTCCTTTGTGTAGCTTAGCTTCCATGACATAAAAAGAGTTAATCTTCTCTCCTTTTGCCACAATTAGAGAACCTTTAGTGAGTTTTCATTTACTTTCACCAAAATAATGTGCAAAGCCCTCATCATAAAGTCTATTTGTAGATATCAAGTTAAGACGAATATCTGGAACATGCCTTACATCTTTGAGTATCAATTTGCTCCCAATACTGGTCTCCAAGCAAATATCTCCAATACCCACAATCTTAGATGTACCATTGTTTCCCATTCTGACATTACCAAAATCACTAACAGTGTAAGATCTAAAGAAATCACCATGAGAAATGACATGAAATGAAGCACCAGAGTCAATTACCCAGCTACTGTCCTGAGCTACAAGGCTAACACAACCTTCATCACAAACAATAGTGATATTACCTTCAGCAGCAACTGTATTGGTCTCTTTCTCATTTTTCTTCATTTCATTTTGTTCTCGCTTCCAAAACCTACACTCTTTCTTCATGTGACCTAGCCTGTTACAGTGAAAACATTTGATATCTCTTCTAGATTTGGATCTTCCTCTATATCCATGTGGGTTTCTGTTATGACTTCTTTCACGTCTTTCTTGTTTTTCAGTAACAAATGCCCCAGAAGAAGATTCACCATGTTATTTTCTTCTAGCATCTTCATTTAGCAAACTGTCTTTAACCATATCTATAGTTAGAGTCCCCTCTGGCGTGGAGTTACAAATAGTCACCACATACGTTTCCCAACTTTCTGGTAAAAAGCTGAGAAGTAATAATCCCTGCATCTCATCATCTATATTCATTTTCATAGCAACCAACTTGTTTGCAAGACTCTGAAATAGGCTTATGTGCTCAACAATGTTACCATCATCTTTATACTTCAAATTTACAAGCATTCTGATGAGAGAAATTCTATTTCCCACTATCTTTTTCGCAAAGAGGTTTTCTAAACTTTGCCAAACAACATCAGCTCTGATTTCATCTGAAATATGCTCATGTAAGTTTATATCCATCCATCTTCTAATATAGGCAATAGATTTTCTATGTTGAACTTCTCATTCTTCATCGTCTATAGTAGAAGGTTTATCTTTAACCTTAATGGACTTATACAAATCTTTGCAATATAGCAAATCTTCCATCAGACGTCTCCAAGTGGAATAATTTGATGAGTTCAATTTAATCATACCATCTGACTGCTCCATTTCAATCACACAAGAAAACTAGCACCAAACAAACTGACGCTCTGATACCACTTGTTGGGAAGAAACCTATTAAAGCGGAATATTCTTTTCCCTCTTTGTGTATCAAAATGAGTTCCTCATCAAAATACCAACTTAATATCCAAATGAAAATATCAACCAGCACAACATAAAAATAGAGCAAATAATCAATCACACAGTGAGACCAAATCTTTTTAACGTGAAAAACTCAATGTGGGAAAACCACGGGACCGTAGTCCACCTCAAACTTCCACTATCAATAATAATGATAACAGGTTTACAATAGGTCTTCTCTAGAATAACTAGAGGATCAGAATAACATCAAGATCATAGATCTTAGCTCAAGAATAGCATATCTTCATCATGTAGGATGAATCTCCTCAAAAGAGAATTCTAGGTCTCACAGAGTGGATATCATAGGAAAGTACCTTAGAGAGGGTAAACTATAGATCAACACCGATAGGATTGTAGAGTTTACTGCAAGGATTCTCCACATAAAATTTGGGCTGAAACTGACAACGTTTGGCTTCAGATCGTCAAGTAAAAAACTCAGAAACCTAATCTTTCTCTCTCTATTTCTCTCTCCTTTTTTCTGTGCACGCCGTCGCACACTGCAATCTCTGATCTATTTTCCTCATCTTCTCTATCCTCTTTTTTAATTTTACTGATTTGAGCTCAATAGGCCCAATTATCCAAGCCCACATATGGACTGGACCCAACAATAAATCCTAATATTAAGAATCAAGATATATTTATAAAAATAAAAATAAATCTTAATTTTTTATGACTATTTTTGTTACTTGAATCTTTAATCGGATCATAATCCATCAAAAAATTTAAATTTAATTAAAATTTCTCTAAATAAATTGAATATAATTAGAACATACCAAACTAACAATATTGCGCATTGGAATCAAGACTATTGGATCTTTAGTTTCATTTCCTTTGTTTTTCTCTTTTTTGTGGATATAAAGTTGACACGATGGCCCGACAGGATTAGCACGAGAATCTGCAGCTCCACTATAAATGCACTGCAAGAGTGCACACAATGGGGTCATCGACCATCTCATCTCCACAATGCTTGGTCACACCATCTCCCTTCTCCGACACAAGTGGTGCTGCTCTCTGGAGACCAACCATGGCAGCATTGCTCCCGTAAGCTTCACCTCTAAGCTCCAGTACCCAAAGCAGCAGCAGCTGTTGGTGCCCAACAATGGTGGAGTGATGAGCACCACAAGTTTCAGCTCTATTGGATCTTTAGTTTCATTTCCTTTGTTTTTCTCTTTTTTGTGGATATAAGTTGACACGATGGCCCGACAGGATTAGCACGAGAATCTGCAGCTCCACTATAAATGCACTGCAAGAGTGCACACAATGGGGTCATCGACCTTCTCATCTCCACAATGCTTGGTCACACCATCTCCCTTCTCCGACACAAGTGGTGCTGCTCTCTGGAGACCAACCATGGCAGCATTGCTCCCGTAAGCTTCACCTCTAAGCTCCAGTACCCAAAGCAGCAGCAGCTGTTGGTGCCCAACAATGGTGGAGTGATGAGCACCACAAGTTTCAGCTCTACGATCCAATATCCAAAGCAGCTGCTGTTGGTGCCCAATGATCATGAAGTGAGAACCATACATAAGCTTGGTCACAACTACATATCCTTGCTGACAAGATTGATATATACTTACGCATCTAACTTTGCTTTCTTATTTCGCCTCCACGAGTTCCTCGTCTGGTCGCTGCATATTTTGTTTGCATTAGTAGGAACGAAAACACACATCTTAACTCTTGCTCGTCCGACATATTTAACTAGATATTAATAATATTTTGAATATATATATATATATATATGCCTTCATATTTATCACTTTTTTATTTTCAAGTTTAACATGTAAATCTCTCCAATGTCTAAAAACTTGCATGTGACATCAATCTTCACTAGTTAATTTAATTTATATAATTGTTGAAATTCTTGTTTACATTGGTATCCTTTGAAAGTATTTAGGGTCATTTAAGTTAAGTGTTTTATGTTTTATATACTTGTTTATTTAATAGAAATAAACTGTATAGATGTATATTAACTATATATATATTATTGATTAAATCACTGGTGACACTCAAAAATTAAAACATATCAATATCACTTGACCCTCGTCACATGTATGAGAAAGTATTTGATAAGTCCTTTTACTCTTTCCTTAGAAAATGATATTGACTAAGTGGCAAAACTTATCACTCAGACAAATGATATTGGTGCAAACAAGGTCAAGAGGATACTATCTAATATACTCTCTTTTTTTTCTTTTTTTTTTCATTTATCATCAATGTGCTGAGTTGATTCTTCTAAAAATTAGCTTACGAAATATTTGATTCATAATGTAATGTGACTCTCATTACGTTTGTACCTGAGATATGTCATATCTATTATTGTTCTTGAATCAGAAGAGTATGTTCGATTTGGTGAAATGCACCAAGTAAATTACTTATGAATCATTTACTTTGCAATGAAATATTTTCTTATTGTGCTCAAAATAGTCTTAATATTTCAGCTTCAATCACTCATACGACATATTATGTATTTCAATCACTCATACGACATATCGATTCGACACAAAGGAGATAGCCAAATATTATGTATTTCGCATTTCATATTTACATCATCATCTTAATACTTGTGTGTACCTTAATGCAAGGATTGGAATAACTTTATCATTGTAAATTGTATTTAAATTGCTATAATTGAAAAAGTATATATACTTGTTACATTTCTCAACTTCGAAATTTATTTTATGTTACAGGAACTTTTATATCTTCAACACAAGAAGAACTTAATGGAAGCTAGAAGCTTATTTTATGAGTCGAAAACCCAATTAGATGTGATGTTAGCAATCGATTTGCTACAAAAACTAGACATTGACTATCATTTTACTGATGAGATCGATGCGGCTATTGAATCCTTATACAACAAACGATCTAATATACTTGGTGGAGAAACAAATAATTTTGTCAATATTACTCTTTTATTTCGACTACTAAGACAAGCTCGATATCCTATATCCTCCTGTAAGTTCTTCTAATCTTATTTATCATTTTATCATGAATTATTAATGATAAATAGCTCTTACTTATTTGAAGATTCAAATTAGTTCATAGTAAATCACAAGCCATTCTGAAGAGGCAAAGAAACATAACTCTCACCAAGAAATCTAATGCAAAATGGATATTAGTTGTCACCATCACAAATTCATAATAGTAGTAATATTTGAGTTCCTCCATTCGCATGCTGGTAGAAGCCATAAATCCAACTCAATATGTACATTTCACAATAGTAGTAATATCGATAGCTATCGATCCAATTTTCTATTGTTGAATTGAAAAGCATATGGCTACATGCATTTTTATTTGTGTTTCTTATGATAAATCATTTCAATTTAGTAAATTTAATTGTACGGAAACCTTTGTCTTTTTAGATGTCTTCCACAGGTTCTTGGATGACGATGGAGAATTCATGACATCTCTTACCGAAAAGATTGATGGAATGATAAGTTTATTCGAAGCATCAAATTTGAATACAGGCGAAAACATACTTCATAAAGCCAACATATTTGCTACCGATTACCTTAAGTCCTCAATGACATACATGGAACCTGATTCTGTCAAATGCATTCAACAGACATTAGATCATCCATACCATATGAGTTTGCAGAGATATAAAGCAAGACAATATCTTAACCATCAGCGCGGAGAAGAAGGAAGGAAAGGGGTTATTCAAGAGCTCGCGAGGACCGATTTCGTTTTGATTCAGTCATTGCATCGAAAGGAATTGAACGAGATTACATGGTACATTTTCTTTTTTATGCAAGAAAGAAATACTCATTCGACACAAAAAAAAAAGTTTTACTTTGGAAGTCTCTAATTCTTATTAGTTTTTGGTGTCTATTAGTTTCCATGAGAGATCAAAATCGAAAACAAGTACATGATCGACATAAAATAATTGTCGAACTAAAAAAGAAACATTTTCTAAAGTTTGAACTAAATAGTCCCTACAAATTCTACAAAAAGTGATAAGAGAAAATTGAAGAAAATAAGATTATTTTTGTCATTATGAAGACCCGATTAAGTGTCAATTTTCCAACTTGTTTAATTTTCTTTGTGAAATGTATGTGTTTATGTAGTTCATTGACATGCTTTGGTGGTGTTATAGCTGGTGGAAGAACTTGGGATTAGCACAAGAACTAAGATTTGCCCGAGATCAATCGTTGAAATGGTACACATGGTCGATGACAATTCTTCCGAATCCCAAATTCTCAAAGTATCGAATAGCATTGACGAAAGTAATTTCGTTTATTTATCTTCTCGACGACATATATGATGTACATGGATCACTGGATGAACTCCACCTCTTCACAAAGGCCATCGATGAGTAAGAATGAATCATCACTTCTTATGCCACAAAATTACTTGAGGATTATATGTTTATACCAAACCTAATGGATTGCAGATGGGAGATTTCGGCCATTGATTCACTTCCTTTCTACATGAGAATATGCTACATGGCACTGTACAACACCACCGATGAGATCACACAAATGGTGTTCAAGGAGCATGGATGGAATCCAATCAACTCTTTGACAAAATCGGTACATTACACATTTCTTTTGTACATCAAATTACTTTGCCTCAAAATAAATATGCGTCTCTCTCAT